ACGGTTTCATGCTTTCCTCGACACGACACAGACCGGGCACGACGGCCGCATCCGGCCGCACGGCTCGCTTACCCTGGTAATGCTGCTGGGACAGCATCCTACCTTCCAGGGTGGCTTTTCGGAGGAAGAGAGACACCGGCATCAGTTGGGTTAGGGGCATGCACGCGCCAGAAGCTGGCAAAATTCAACGTTCGCGAAGCGGGGGAAGGTCGCAAGGCCGATCGCCAAATGAGCTTCTGAATTAATTACCGAGGTCAATCACGGCCACAACTAATTAGCAACTGCATGGCACTTGCTACTGCTTGTGAACATTTGCAGCCTGTCAGAACAGGACCTCTCATCACAATTAACAACAGGTAATTAATAAATTACTCGTAATTAATAAATTACTCGTAATTAATAAATTACTCGTAATTAATGAATTACTCGTAATTAATAAATTACTCGTAATTAATAAATTACTCGTAATTTAAAAAAATTACTCATCCTCAACACTTCCTTAATGCACCTTCACGGATTAGACCCTTCACCAAAAGCGGCAAGTTCCAGCCCCCCGGCCGACAGAGGCGGCACTCACCAGTGGTGAGGATGGTGGACGCCGCCGCCAGCTCCTGGTAGATGCCGTAATTGGGGAGGAGGCTCTGGATGGAGAGCTCCTCGGTCGCGCTGCGGATGTCGGCCTCCTCGCACAGGAGCGCGAAGCACGACATCGCCACGAGGACCGCCTCGATGTCGATGCTCCACGTGTAGATGAAGAACACCACCTGCGAGGCAGAGATCGAGAATGGGAACGTCCACCGCTGCAAACACCATCGGTCGCACGACCGCACAGACCGGCCTCAAAATGTAACTTTTCTCAGGGTTCACCAACCAACTGGGCCCTCCGTCCCGGAGGGCATAATGGTATATTTGAGTGTCCCACTCAAATATTTGAGCGTCCCACTCAAATATACCATTCCAAAAAACAACCGAGCGAAGGAGGCAGGGAAAGAAGTCCTCCACCCAAACCGATCCCTCGTCCCAGGGCTGTCTGCCACTTCTTGCCTCCTGCCTCAAACATTCCCTATGCCCCTGTCTCACTCCGCGCCAGGACACGAATGCAATCTCAGGCTCCACGAAGCTCCACCTCCGACGGCAGACGGGACTCTGGAAGACCTTCTTCTTCCCAGCCAGATACACTGCACCACTGCCTTCTCCTTCTAAATGGTGCATTTGCAAGAACTAACCTCACCTTCACTACACTGTCCCTTACAATGACAGACACAAGCCACAGCTCCCTAAAAACTCCCTAAAAACAAAATCTGCAGCTTCCATCCCAGGCCAGAATCGGCGCCACTCGCCCTCAAGTGGGAACCTGGCAACATCAGCTCTGAACTCATTACTGACATGCAAGCGAAAGAGGCCAGAAATAGCCACAAGTACAGATAAAAACTGATGATCACTTGAAGTACAAAATAAGAAGCTTCAAAATGGCAGTTCCTGGGACGATAACGAGAAACGTCCAGAAGTAGCCATGATGCAAACTCGCACGCGGGGACTTTGCCGGAACCGATCCCTTCCCTTTGCGGACAATGAAATGGAATATATTGGAATCCCTTTGAAAAATTATTGAGATCCCCATCACCTCACGTGTTTCACAACCAAAGAGCATTTAGGATACACCAGTGCTAACTTTTGCAAATAAAATTGGCCATAGCCAACCAAAAACAGGACATGGAGCATATTTCAAGCTCTGGGCCAGCTTTTGTTTAGAAATTCCATCAGTCACTCAGTCCATTTTGATCCACTCCAGAAGGAAAGCTAAAATTATAAATTTAAATGCATAGTAAAAAAATAGAACTAAATATACAATAAAATCAATAAATGAATAATGATAAAATTTAAAAATGAATAAAATTTAATTTATAAAAGGAATAAATAAATTACAAGGAAAAAAAACTAAAATTAAATTTAATCTAATAAAGTCATGATGATATTATTTAAAAAAAAATACATGGCTTTCGTTTCTCAACTTTTTTCCCTCACCTCAAGCTTGATGTGAGCCTGCTTGCAGACGGGGATGTGCGAGCCGACGTTGGCGTACTCCCGGTGCCGGAGGAGGAAGTTGTTGCGGCACACGAGGATCTCCCGCAGCCACTTGAGGATCTCGGTGTAGTTGACGATCTGGTGCTGCACCAGCTTCTGCGAGATGGAGAACAGCACCTGGGAGCTAGGGGGGGGGGGGGGGGGAGAGATGCAAACCCTCAGTCAGTGCGACGGGCATCTGCGTCCCGCGGTTCAGGCCGGAACGCTCGGTTTAAGGCCTTGCCGGGGAATATTAAATTCCTGTTCCATTCAATTGTTTGGGGAAATTTTTCCCTGGTGCACCATGCAAATATTAGATGTTGAAATAAAATCTCTACATGGCCCTCGCACACATTTCTCATCAGAATCATATCTGTCATGTGGATCCCTTTTTCAAGGGAATGCTAAAGTTGATGATGCCTACAGACATCACCTGCAGTTAAGAGTTTAATGGAAATTCTGATGGACTGCGTTGTTCACAGACTACATGCCCGATCAGATTATACATTTTGCTCGTCCTCCGACATTCCTGGACCGCCCCAAAGTGTCACAGGATCAACTCATGGCTAATTCACCTTGCAAAGCTGACAAATGAGCATTTCACAAAGGTAGCCGAAAACCCAAAAAAATCGCTCCGAGAGATGTTTACCAAGGTAAAACCAAACTGACATCACTAAAGTTCTTGACCTAAAATTCTGCTTTCATCCTTATATTCATGCCATGATCACCTTCAAGATTTGAAACACCAATTTAAAAGGATCATCGAGGTAAGCTTTGAATTATCCCATTCAAAGGGTCACCCTAATGAATCACAAACTAAACATGAATGAAAGAAGCCCTCCATTCGCGCACGAGCCCCGATCGAACCTAAAACCCATCCGAGAGAAGATAGGACGACAGAGACCTGACGTCCCAGAACGTGTTGATCGGGGCCTCGGGGTTCCACATCTCGATCTTCTCCGGCTGGTGCAGCGTGAGCAGGGCCTCCATGGCCTCCCCGGTCACGTCCGGCATGGTCGTCTGGTGCACCAGCGACACCAGGCCGTTGATCAGCTCCAGCGTCGAGCTCTGGATCTCGTGCCCGGTCTTCTCTTTGCTCTGCTCCCCGGGAGAAACCAAACAGGAATCGATATGTTTTCGCCGAGGGATGGCAGAAAAATTAAATCAAATCCAGTACTAATAGGTATAAGATGCTTTGGTCCAACACCAGATGTGTTGGACCATATTAAACCAGGTTAAAAAGTCATACGAGAGAAGTAAAAGCAACTTAGTAATATAGTAATGGAAATAAACTTCCTCAAATGTGGTCAAACAAGGCTATTTGAGAGCCACAGGCCAAGGTCAAGAGATCTGCTGGAAAGATCAGAGGTTGAACTGAAGGAGGATGGGGATCCAGGGTGAAGGACTAAAAGGCATCACAGCAAGATGAGAGAGGATGGAGGAGAGGTGGGCCAAGGGGAAGGAAATGAGAGATGGAGAAAAGTTTCCATAGAGCTATTGAACATTGCAGACCTGTGGGCCCATTCAACCCCTCAACAACAAAAAAATTGAATCTCTCTCCAACCCTGACCTTTTCACCCGATTAGTTCTACTCCTACAGCAATGGAAGATGTGACCTTGGGCAAACACAGATACTCTTTTCTCAACAATATTTTTTGCTCAGTGCATAATTTTCTATTATAAACTCAGAGGCTGACTTCAAGATTGCTTACATAAAGCATGAGCATGGGGTCGGCATGGATGAGTCGCACGAGCCAGAGCAGGAGGTTCTTGTACGTCGGGCCCTCGTCGGATGGCTTCTCCTTGAACTTCAGCGGGGTCATTTTCTCCTTCAGGGTCAGGCTCTGCATCAGAAAGAAACGAAAAAATGAATTTTTCGAGCAACATTTCACACAGACTGCAGCTTGACTCAGGCATTCTGTGGCTTCCAAAGTCAGATGCAACAATTTTGGCGGTTCAATAAAAAAAATGCTAATGAGACAAGATGAACAATTTTTTGCTACTATTATGAATTGAATCAGCTGTTTAAGGGAGATAAACAGGCCTATAATATCTACATATTGCTTCTCCAAGCATCCTTACATGTATGAATCTCTTTTGTTTGCTACAGCTGTCATAGCTCACTCAGCAACAAAACCAACTCTGCAAGTTCTTTCTATCTTTCACAAGCCCCCATCAAATAAAAGAAAAAAAAAACAAAACAAAACAGAATAACTGCAGGAAGACCAGAATGCCCGGAACTCTATGGGAACGAAGAGGTACTGGACGCGTACCTGGATCATCTTGAGGGGGGCGTGGGAGATGCAGCCGACGTATCCCTGGGTCACCTTGGTCAGGGTGTCGGTGAACATGTTGCGAAACTCGGTCGACTTGAAGTACATCATGCTGATGTCCGGCCACCACGGCAGCCGCGGCTGGGTGATGATCCTACGACACGGCACGCGACAGTCGACGCGGTGATTTTCACCGAAAATGACATCGGTGGAGTGAAATTACAAGCTTTCTCTAGCAAAGCCAAGTTCATCATTCTCTCTCAAGCATGCAACTTCCTTTTCAACAGGAAGGGAAATACAACCCGTCAGCTGTAACTGATGGACGAAAGTGTAAAGTAACGAATAATGCTCGTATACACCTTTTCAAATTGCACCTCTTGGATCGAAACACTGATGCACCTCTACTAGTAACTCACTGGTCTTTTGGCACCTCCATTCTCAAAAGATTTTAAAGAAACGCCAGAAAGGAATCGATCCGCGTCTCACCTGTACAGCGAATTGACGAGGACGTAGTGGAACGTGGCCGGGGAGTTGTGGTTGAGGCAGACCTTGAGCGCGTCGTCGCTCACCCGGCTGATGCGGAAGATGGACACGAAGCAGTCGATCATCAGCTCGATGTCCTGCTGGATGAAGCTCTGCCCCCGCGAGAACGGCTTCCCCGGGTTGAACAGCAGGAACTGCAGGAATTCTCACATACATTCATTCGATGCAATGCATCGCTCTACGACCGAGATCGAGTGCCGAGATGATGGGGTGTGTCAAAATCCAGAAAAGCAGCAAAACACAGTTAATTTAAAAAAATTTAAATAGTCATGCAAATAAGGTAGTGTATTGATGGCAGGTAAAAAAATATAGATATCAACTGGCCTGTGCACTCAAATGCAAAATTTGAGCACACAGGCCTGGGCTAAGGAAGCCAGGTCTGCGCTAGAATGTAAATGTAGAGAGTTTGGCACTGGCTCTTCTATTACTCCAGCTCTATAGGCAGAGAGGTAATCGTGAGGTGTGACCTACACATTGTGATACATGTTGTGCAGGTTGGATATTAACCGTGACCTACACGGTTTGCATGGTATAAAATACACCCTTTTCAACACAATTTTATCTTCCAAAGCTACTTAGGCCGGCAAATTCCATCATAAGACTATCCCCAGGTTTCAAATTACTTTAATCGGTGAATGTAAACTATACATCCCTAATGAATACCTCAAACCTGTTGTCTGTAGGGTTGAGACCACGGCACCAGGCCTCAACAAGGTGCCTCAGCAGAAGCTCGACCATTGTCCCATGCATATTTTGAGTTTGAACTTGCAAAATGTCCTGTTCATGGAGTCAGTTAACTGTGTTCTCCTTACTATCGAATTATTGAATAAAAATCTTGGCATCATACCACAGCATCTACTGCTGCTGATAGAGCAATGCACCTCTATCTACCCCAATATACATGTGGTGGCAGATCCAAGGGGGTAGGGGGGGGAAGGGTTTACTGCCAGGTTTGCATTCAAATTTTTTAATTTAAAAGACACTTTCATTAATCTTTATTAGGCCAGTGAAATAGATAGCGAAGCTTTGACCCCAGACAAAAAATGAAAATGGCAATAGGATGGAGAGTGATAGTAGGTTGTGGGGGAGGGGGGGTGGTTGGAACAAGGGAATCTGCCTCCCCCGATGAAAAATTTAGGTATCCACCACCGAAATGCATGTGACCCCACCCTTCCCCATGCTTCCCATTCCGTGACACTGACAGGCATATTGGGGGGGTATTAGGGGAGAAAGGGGGGGGGAGTTGAGTCTAGGTTGACACCACCCCCCCACAAAAAAAAAAAATAAAATAAACCTCCCAATATGCCTGTCAGGTCATCACGCAGTGTTGTCATTACAGTGTACTGTAAGACACCACCACACATGGTAGGCCACATCTCATACCCAAAGAGCTATCGTAGGTCGCAGGCCATATGGTAGGTCACACCTCACATAACAGGCAGGGATTTCTTTCGCAGCAGGACAAGGCTCAAACCACATATTAACCCTCTGTGCATTATTTGTATAAAATTCTCCATCTTTCCTCCACAACTCAACCCATTCGGGTAGCAAATACAGTCACGCGTGGGAGTTTCGAAAACCGTCTGGCCCCCACCTTGATGTCGGCGATGACCCCCTGCAGGAGGATGAAGACGACGTTGGTGGGGTCGGAGGTGTTGATGTACGTGGCGACCTTGCAGAGCTTGATGCAGGCGACCGCCGCCGCCTCGGTGAGCGGCTTCGAGGCCGAGTGCGGGACCAGCGCCTTCCGCACCTGGTCCAGGAACTGCTTCTTCCGCAGGTGCCGCGGGGAGCAGGGAGCCCCCGTGTCTGCGTTGATCAGCTCCTCCAGGATCCTCTGTACAGGATTGACAGGTGTTTTGTGAGAACCAGGAGACCAAGAGCATTTTTCCTGACCATTGATGATATTTAGCTGAAAAGTAATCTTGTTAAAGAAATTAATTAAATGAAGTTGATATAAAATACAATAAAGGAAAGAATTTCATCAGAAAGCAAGAAAACTAAAAAAAAAAAACCACAATAACTCAACTTATGGAAGCATTACCAGATTATTACCTTACTTCCAAGAGGAAGAGGCCTTTTATGAAATCAAATCAAGTCATAAGTTTTATTTGCTTGCCACCATAGCAAAAATTGTGAAACCCTTTCCCATTTTCCTTTCCTGAATATGCATAAAATTTCCAGTATCCTGGACTGGCAACATAGGACAGGATGAATAATATCAAATTTGTTATGCATGCATGAAACATTAATAGGATACATATTCCTTTAAAATAGGTCTACATGTATCCTCAAGCCCCAAAACACCAAAGCAATTCGTTTCAATTACTGTACACATAGGTCATAAAAAAACTTTTTAGAAACAGAAGGGAGGCAAAACATCTCTTACAGGGGAGAGGGCAAGGAGGAGCATCTGCAGCGGCCAGGTCGCCGCCCTCCGCTTGTTGCTCTCCGTGAACGTGTCCAGCTGCTCGAACAGTGCCTCGCAGCACTTGGCCAGGTCCTCGTTCGGATTCCGCTGGAAGAGAAGCGTGCCGTGCAGTGCCGGGTTGCTCGCCGCTCGCCTGCGGGCTCGGGGGCCTCGACTCACCTGGATCTTGGCGAACTCCTCCGGGTACGTGTCCAGCCAGTTCCAGATGGCCTTCTCCAGGGAGCAGATGAGGACGATGTGGGCCGACTTCTTCAGGCTCTTCAGTTTGCATATCGCCTCTGAAACGAAGATCCGAAATCCACCGATCGGTTCTAGAGATGCCGCAAACCCGCCCCGCTTCGACGGCACCCACCTTGGAAGAGCTTCATGAGACGGATGACATTGACGTTGATGTGCTGGATGAGCTCGATGTCGCTGTAGTCGGGGCTTTCTTCGTTGCTCACGCTCAACTCTTGCAATCTGAGGAGCAAAGAAATCATTTCCAAATGGAAACTGGCAAGCATTGGATCCATTCATAACTTTAACAACCAAAGATTAGTTCCAAACAGAGTCTGCATTGTCAAGACCTTAGCCATGGCTCGAGGTGAAAGTTCAAGGTCAAGGGCATCATTGCCTTTCAGCCCTTATTCATTCAGTCCAGCCATGTTACATGAGAGTTGCCAAGTTGACAATGGCAAAAGCAATCAATGAATGATGTGGTCTTTGTTTACAGTTTTTTATACTGACTCCAACCTATTCCTGATTGACATTTGAGACATAACCTCATGGGAAATTGATCCCTAAAGGCATAGAAACATAGAAAGGAGTCAACCAAATGCAGTGACTTTGCTTGAGATCTACAATAATTCATGGCAGGCTCATAGAAGAGAATGGTAACCATGGAAATATAAGAATATGAAAGCAAAGAAGATTGCAAGGTTAAGGTGGAACCATGTATGATGCTCTTAGGTGTGAAAATTAAAATGCATGAAGTAATAACTACTTTCATCATAAGATCATTTTGTTAAAGGAAACACAATGACAATTAAAAATAGTTTCCTTGGCCCAGCTAATCAGAAATGACATTCCCTACCTTCAACCTGTACTTCCTTCCAAAATGACCACATGAAGTTATACCACAATTTCAGCCCTGGGCCGAAAGCATCTTGGAATCTGAATCGGATTACGAATTTTAAGAAACTCACCGGGCCGAGATGCGACTGAAGACGGCGTTGAAGTTGTTGAGGCTGAGGGAGAAGAGGACCCGGGAGGCAAGGGTCTTGAGCTGCGCCACCATGGCGTTGTCGTTGGGCAGGTCGATGAACTGGCAGATCTCCCTCAGGAGGAGCTTCACGTTCATGGCCTCGTCGAAGCGGGTCGTGTCGTGTGGCTGGGCGTTCAGGCACCGCTCGAGCGTGTCCAGGACCATGAGCAGGGACTCGTAGTAGTTCCGCTCGAAGTCTGGGCCGTGCGCTCGCTGCGGGGAGTTCGATTCGCTCGGGGTCAGAGGCCTTAACGTCATTGGGCGAAACTCGAGTGCCATGGCACAGAATCGGGAGCAAACAGGCTCTGATGATTTTCTCAGGCCTAGTCAACCAAAGCTGGGAAACTTTGCATTAACTAAATCAGTTACAGTGAGCCAAAACCCCAGGATTTGAATTATTGACTAAATATCCAAGGTTTGCCTAATTATTCTGTTAAACCTATTTTCCCCAATCATAGAGACCAAATGAGCCTTCTCCCCCAGCTGACAGGGCCCTAACGGCAAGAAAAAGGCCACGTGCTGCCTTCCTGCTGATATAAATGGAAACTGGGAGATCAGCAGGCATCCAGCACATTCCTACGAGTCGGCACAGTGAACGGCCAACTCCTGGCACACATCCAGCTACCCTCATAAACATTTTCCCCATTTCCATTCGTTTCCCTCAAAGTCAACAGCTAACAAGTACAAAATATGGCATTTGAGCTCACCTTCAATTGATTCCCATAACAAGTTCAATTTAGGCCTACATTTTGCATTCTTTTGCTTGAATGAGGAAGAAAAGCATCTTGTCAAATTGCAATAAACTGTCGTCGTCGTGCCAAAAGAAAGCCGCACGCGAAACGGCCGCGATTCGAGACCCCTCGCCTCGACCGGCGGTCACAGCACTCACCATCTCGTTGACTCGCTGCAGGATCTTGGTGAGTCCTGAGATGACCAGCGAAAACTTGTACTTGGAGATCTCAATCAGGCTCTCCTTGTTCTGCTCCACGTTGATGCGAGCCGACGTTGTTTGCGGTCCCGTTCGGCAAGGAAGCTGCAAACAATGTCGCTCTGTGTTGATAATGTGCAATAATACATGTTATTATATTTATTTTACTTATAAATATGTGACAGAAGCATAGTTACATGTAGCTGTGATAGGCCTACAGAAATTTGTCACTTATTCAGCGATGCAATATTTTGGGTTCGGTTTCACTGGCTCTTCCATTCAAGTTTAATGAGTTTTTAATTCTAAAACTCAAAACAAGCAATGTTAGCATTTCAAGGATTTTAGAGGATTTTAAAGTAACTTCAGCATACGGAAGAAAGGCTCATCGTGGAAAAAACCGACCTGATCCTCAAACCTGCTCATGAGACATGAGACCCACTCCACAGGGCGCTGAGTCGCCATTTTCGTCGTTGAAATCCTTCGATGGCCCGAATTCAGGCCTAAACGGAACTCGAATCAAAAACGGACAGAGAGATGGGCAGGCCCAGCCATGATTCGGTCCGATTGGGGCCCAGGCACGATTCGATGACGAGTGGGTTAAGCACCGTTCAGTGGAGAAAGCTCAACGTGGTCGCTTCATTCATAAATCCTTTAGGGAACTTCGGCTGTCTCATCGTGGCATGCCACATGGGGCATGTGCGCTCCCCTATTGATTTTGTGGGAGGTGCTTCGTCTGATAGAGACCTGCCTGGGTCCACCTCCCACGCAGCGCCCGCAGCAGTACCGCCGGGGGACCGCGGCGGAACCGCGGGACATTTGCGGGGAGAAGGCAGCCGGACCGCGGAGTCCGTCGGGCAGCGTTAGAGGTCGCCCGAGGGTCCCGAGATGTTTCTGCTACCGCGGAGGCCTCGCTTCCGTGGTGGAGCTTCTGGACCGGCTCCTCTTGCCGGAAACGTCAGCGAATGAATGAATGAATGGGCTCGGTCGCTCGAGCTCTGAATCATGCGTAAATATGCGCAAACCCGCAGACCGGATCTCATCCCGGATGAAAGCGGAAAACGGCACGGAAGTCGGCTCGGAATTCATTAGCCTCCGGGATCCACGAAGGGGAAATGAATTCCCATCGAAAACAAAGTTTCCTCTCTGGCTTGCCATAATTTCTTTCCCCTTTCAGGAGGAAAAAAAAAAGTAATTAATGGATGAAAATTTTGACAGGACAATATTTATGTTAAGTGAACTCCATCTGGGGAGCTGGAATTTCCTCCCTGCCTCATTCCCCGTTCTCCGGCGATCGATTCTTTTGCTTCTTCACGCTCGTCTGACACAGTTGGTTTTTTTTTCGCGCTTTCTCGCGTAAATGACTCGATCCCGCGTAATGGTGTTGATTTGCGAAAAGATAATTTGCCGAATTTCATGTTAACAAATTGGAAAACGTTATTCTAAAATTTCTTTCTTTCTTCGCCTCAGACCGAGTTCGAAAAAGCTTGAACCGACTCGATTCGACCGGACTCGACCGGTCGCTTCCTCCTTCCTCCTCCTCTCCCAGCATCGAAGGGAAAGCCGAATCGATCTCCCACCCGGTCGGCCGGGAACCTCCTCCGCGCCCGCATCTGCCTCCTTCCTCTCTCTGCCAGAATCGATCCGTTTCCGAAAAGCAACTCCAGCGAGCTCGTGTTGCCGCGGCTCCCCGTCGCGACGCGATGAGTCGCTTCGAGAAAAGGGACCGAGAAGCTCCAGGAAATTTCCTCGGTTTTCCTCAAGACAATAAATAAACGGGAAAAAAAAAACGAAAAAACAAGGAACGTTGCAACACTTAAAAAAGGTGGTCGAACGAAATGAAGCCAGCGAGGAACCTCCCCAACATCCACCCGCCCTAAGAGAAACGGCCAGTACATCCCCCCACCAACAGATGTCGCCAACGGTTCCACAGGGAGGGGGGGGGGGGGGGGGGGGGGCCCCCCCCGCGCGA